TTGGCGGCCTGCTCCCCCACCTCACGCGGCGGCTTGGCGCCCTGCTCCCCCACCTCACGCGTTGGCGCCCTGCTCCCCCACCTCACGCGTTGGCGCCCCGCTCCCCCACCTCACACCGCGGCTTGGCGCCCTGCTCCCCCACCTCACGCGTTGGCGGCCTGCTCCCCCACCTCACACCGCGGCTTGGCGGCCTGCTCCCCCACCTCACACCGCGGCTTGGCGGCCTGCTGCCCCACCTCACGCAGTCTCTGCACCCGCGCTCCCGCGGCCATCTTTGATGCCTCTTCACTCCTCCCCGGGCGCCATCGCCACGTTCCCCTTGACCGTTCCCGAACACTCCAGTTACTTCAAATCTTGACCTCTGTAGAACTCTGGTGAGTGGGGGCCGTTTCCTTAGGTTCGAATCCCCAAAGTTTGGGTCTGAACTTAAGTGTTCCACCATTCCACATTCTCCCTCATTGATACGGGCTGGCCTTCTACATTCGCCTGTCGCTGGGGCGTCACTGGGGCTGTTTCAGTGACCACATGAAATGTGGGTGGTCAGGCTGACCGTTCCCAGACAGGCCGTGATGTCCTCAGTCAGCAGAGCGGTCAGGACGCCCTCGTCGGGGCCTCCGGAGCAGCACAACCACATGTCTTTTGTGTGCCGGGTTGGTGCAGCCTGGAGTGAGCTCAGCTGCCACCACAGAAACCTCCTCCGCAGCCGTTGCCAGGGAGGAAAGAAAATGTCCAGAAGCAGGGGGGTGATCGTTCTGTTCCCCACCCTTCCCCGTTTCCTCTTGGGAAAGCATCGTCAGCTCGGGACAGAAATGCACGTAAGGAGTCGCCTTCCTGCAAACTCCATGCCCTTCGTTTTCAGATGCAAAATGGACGGGGCTCATAAATGCTCTTTTGTCCTCCAGGAGCCGTGTGGTTTGGCCCCTGGATTATCTCAGGTTGCACAGATAAATCTGGCGCCCTCCAGTTGTCTCAATCCCAGCATCACCTCCTCCCGGGCGCCTCCCCATCCCAGGATTTCTGCTGGGCTCCAGGCTTCTCATCAGTGTGCCGTGCTCCTGGGTCCAGCGCGGCCCTGCTCCGGCAGGGACCTGCCTGTGTTCCGGACACCGCTTCTCTTTGTTCTAGAAGCCTGCGTCTGTCTGGTTTCCCAGCGCCTCTCCCCCTGGCATCACCCAGCGTTTTACACACAAGCTGTGCCCTCTGCATGTGCATTTCTTGAGCGTCCCGACAGCCCCATGAGGAGAGCCTCAGATCTGCTCACACCCCCTGCCCGGAGGAACCCTGGCACCCCACCTTAGGAGCCCAAGGAAAGGTTCCAGAAGACAGTCATACCCCCTTGCCTGGAAGACATACCTTCTTAGGACTTTCTACCTAAGCTCAAGAAAAGGGGGCTTCTCGGAGCCGCGGGGGGTGGGCCTCTGAGCCCAGGGGTCTGAGAGCAGCGTGTATGGAACAGCCTTTGGTGAGCGGAGGTGGGTGAGAGGGAGGTGGGCCTGCGGGCGTACATGTGCTCTGAGTCGATTCCTTCTCTCACCGTCTGTCAGGGCCCACCAGCTCCTGAACCCAGGGGACAGGGTGAAGCACCCCTCGACCCTCCAGCTGGTGCTGCAGAACCCTGCAAACTCTTTTGGGTGACATGAGGCTCTGTCTCTGCCTCATGCCTCCCTCCCCCCGCCTCTCCTTCCCCAGAGGACTTCCCTGGGCCTGGCAGCAATGAGGGCAAGCTGAATTTCTCTGTCTTAACCCTCCGCGGTCATGTCGCAGCTCCTGCCCGGAACAGAGGAAACCCGGCCTCAGCCCCAGTTAAAACCCCGGGAAGGCAGCCGGGAGGAAATGCTCAGCGAGGTGGTTTTTCTTTTCTTTCCTTTGCAGAAAAAAAAAAAAAAAAAGAAAGTTGCGTGATGGTGTGGAGATACAGGCCCTTTGCCCCCTGCCCCCAAAGGGAAGTTTGTATTCTGTTCAGTGAAACCGTTTTAAAAGCCGGACTCGAGCCTAACAGGAGCCAGGGTGCGCCTGAGTCCTCAGAAGGTGTGGATTTATTTACTGCAGTTAAACCCTAATTAGTTCTCCGGGGACAGTGGATCTTTTAAACGGCTCTATCGCCACCATATTGCTTTTCTGAATAATCAGAAACTTCTGTTCTGATTACGTTCGGACGGAGACCCACGTAAGTAGAAACAAATGTCAGGGTTTGCTGGTTGTCGCTGGCGACGGGACCCGTGGGGGAGACATGACAGGCTCTTGGGGTGTCTCCTCGCACCTGGCCTTCCGAGGGCCGGCCAGGCACACTGCCCACCCCGGGGCTCTCCCACAGGAAATCGTGTTTTCTTGGCCACTGGGCCGTGGTCTCATGCCAGAAGAGTGATGTCCCCGCGAGCAGTCTTCCTCCCTGTCCACGGGGTCTGGGCTGGGGGTCTTCCGTCCAGCCCCGTCTGGCTGACCACTCTTCCTGCCTTTGCAGGTTGATGTTCAAGATGCCGCAGGACATGGGCCTGATTGCCATCGCCGGCCGCCAGACGCAGGGCAGAGGTCAGTCGCCTGGGGGTCTTTCTCCAGTCTGGAGCCGTGGCGGACCCCGGGGAGGTGGAGGTGAGGGAGGCAGTGGCCGGGAGCCTTGGCCCAGCAGAACGGAAGCGTCCCCTCCGGTCAGGGACGTTCAGTGCTGACGTCCGAGCCGTCTGGGCCTCTCTGCCCTCGGAGAGTCCAGGCGCTGCTGTGCGCGAACCGCAACTGTGCTGCCAGGATTTTTGCCTCCATGTGTTGTTCCGCTGTGTCGACGCTGAGTGTCACATGGAGGGGGGTCTTTCGTCAGCAGCCCCCAACTGTTGGGGACTCCACCAGTGCCAGAGGCAGGGGGCAGCTTGCAGCGCCCACCACCCGCAACCCCCAGAGATGCTGCATCCTCCCAGGGCCACTCAGCAGGGCCTGGCCCAGGGCAGCCCCTGCCCTGCCCAGCAGGGGACCCATCCCCCCCCCTCCCCGCTGCAGCCACGGGCCCACCAGCGCGCTTCCTTAAGCCCTCCTCAGAAGCGGAAAAAAAATAAAGTAAAAGTCTAGTTTTCCACTTCTTCCTCTTAAATGTGTATTTTGAACATAACTCAGTAGAAAAAACTCATTCCAACAGGGCGGTAAAAGAAAGGACACAGAGGACTTGGCGCTCCCGTCCCGATGACTAATTTTCCTGCTATTTAAAGAAAAATAACAGCTTTAAAAAACAGCAAGCGCTCCTTGCCGTCCACCCTCCTCCTCCCGTCCCCCCCCCCCCCCCAGTCTGGGGCTGCTCAGGACTCATACGCTGGGCCTCTGTCCCCAACATGAGGGTGACTTCTAAAACGTGGCCGCCAGGACCTCTCCGGTGCACTGAAGCTGAGGTCCCCACTGCTGTGCCCCACCCGGCGGGGACGGAAGTGGTGTGGACGTTGGACACGGCCAGACCGAGCGCCTCCATATAGGACGGGCTGAAGCAGGCTGGTGGCCAGAACCATGGGGAGCTGACCCTGGGGAGCTAACAGCTGGGACCTGCACCAGCACCGGCTTGTTCCCGGGGGACCAGTCTCCCTCCTATGTGGGGCTCTGGGTCCTGGGGCTCGTTTTCTGGCCCCACGGGCATCTGTTTGCCTGTGTGACAAAGTGGCCACTTCCCCGCTGGGGCCTGTGTTCCAGGGCGGGGACGGAACGCTTGGCTGAGCCCCCTGGGGTCTGCCGTCACTACACTGCTGGTCTCCATCCCCCTGAGGTCTCCGCTGGGGCAGAGGATTCCATTCGTCCAGCACCTGATGTCCCTGGCCGTGGTGGAGGCAGTGCGGTCCCTCCCTGGGTACCAGGTACGTACTCCCTGGCGATGGGTCCTCACTGTCCTAGCAGAGACGTCTCCTGCCCTGTGAAGTGGAATCGGGAGAGCTCCCCGTGGGGTGAGGAGCTCCACACAGCGTGCTCCCGGGCCCAGCACGTGCAGGGTGCTCCCGGCGGGTGCCCACCGAGGTCATGGACCTAACTCACGGCGATAAATGTCTCAGGTGTTCTGATGACCACGAGCAGGACGGGGTGGATGCTGGGAAATGCCACCTGTGCTCCCTGGCCGCTGTCCTCCCCCAGAGGCACGCGCCCCACTGGCTGGTCCAAAGAGGTGCTTCGGTGTCTGACAGCGATGAGGACGAGCTCTGGTCCCTTGGTTTCCAGAGTGTTCCGCCCCTCCTCCTCCTGCTGGCTGGCTGCCTGGCGCGGCGGGTCTCTGGGGTCGCTGGATTAATACGCAGACTTTCCTTTAGGACATCAACTTACGAGTGAAGTGGCCCAACGACATTTATTACGGGGACCTCATGAAACTTGGTGGAGTCCTGGTGAACTCAACCCTCATGGGAGAGACGTTCTATATACTTATTGGTGAGTCTCCAGCGCCTCTCCCCAGCATGGTTAGAGTAATAAAAGTGCTCTCTACATGACTACGTGGGTGAGGGGGTGGGTTAGCCTAGGAGGTTGCTTTTTCTTTGGATCTCCATGACTCCCTGAAACTGTCCAGGCATTTAGTGCTGCTTCTGTGTTGGAAACCACCTCACACCTCTCCACACTCCTGTGGCTCATTGAGTTAGAAGTGATAAAAATACATGTCTGATGCACCTGTTTGTTATAAGCAAACAAGAAGTTAACTTCCAGGGTCGACCTGGTGGTTTTGCTGCCTTCCGCTGGCCTTCTCAGAAAAGATGAAAACAGGTGAAAGTCACCTTCTTCTTAACCTTCGGAAGCCCCAGGCTGAGGGGCGGAGGTGAGAGTGGTGCATCCCGGGCTCACTCTCAGCACCTGTCTCCTGTCGCCAGACAGCCTCACTGGTGTTTCCAGAAGTTCTTAGGCCCCGACACCAGCCTCCTCCTAAGGGGTTTTTGCTGATTAAAAATCTGTGGTAGGCAGAAAACATGAGTGGGCGACGCTGCCAGGGAGCACCTGGCTCTTCAGCCGCCAGGCTCGACGGTTCTGGGCGAGCTGCCTGCAACCCGCTCCAGCGGCCCCAGAGGGTCCTGGGTGAGAGACAGCGTAAAGGGAGAGGGTCAGACGGGCCGAGGTTCAGGGCGCTAAGGGCTTCTGTCCGTGTGGGGGACAGAGAAACAGCTCCCTGTGGGGAGAGCCGTGGCTTTTACTAGAGCTTAGGGGTGCTGGAAGGATGGATGGGGTGTGTTGGCCCTCAGAGAGATTCAGTGTGTCTCAGGCCCCCCGGAGAATGCAACCCAAGTGGCCGGCAGGCCGCACTGCTGTTTCCTCAGGACTTTTTCTGAATGCGAGGGGGTAGGGCAGCGCTCTGGACACTGCATTTAATCTCCCCCACCCCTGGCTGCTTCGGGCAGCGACTAG